GGGGGGGCCGGGGGGAGCCACAGGCCCTGTTGGAGAGAGAGACGGTTTAGGGGGCGGCTGGCGGAGGTGCGACGGGGAGTGCGGTGCTCGCAGCGCAGAGGAGATGATATTCATGTTATAATCTTCCCCGGCTCTCGGGGGCGATGGGTTACCATGTGCCAGCGACTCGTGGCTGTTGCCTTGCGAGTCAAAGGGGGAGGGCTGCAGCGAGGCGGGGGCCTGCCCGGCCCCCCCGGGGCTCGGCCCCTTCGGGCTCTCCAGGCAGGGTCCATCTTGGATGCAGGCGTGGGGCGACGAGTGTCCTGTGGGGAAGGCAGAGCCCCGCGTCAGCCCCCCGCCCCGGGGGCAGAACCAGGGGGGGGATTTAACCAGGGGGGATGGCTGCGGGAGCCCCCCAGGGGGAGCGAGTCCCTGCCCCACGGACCCCACCCCGCGCTCACCAGCGTGTGAGGAAGAGGAGGAGGAGGAGGAGTGGAGAAGGGTGTCCTGCCAGGTGGTGCGGTGCGCGGGCTGGGGGAAGCTGCCGTTGTTGTTCAGGGAGTCCTGGGGGAAGAGCAGAGCCGGGGTGAGCGGGTGGGGGGGAGCCCCGGGAGGGGACACGGGGTGGCCGAGCCCAGGGACATCTGGGGACACGGGCAGGAGATGAGCTGGGGTGCCCGGTCAGGGCTGTATTGGGGTATGGGGACACCGAACGCAGCTGGAGGGGCGCGGGGACCCCCTTGGCAGGACTTGCTGCCCCCCCCCAGCTTGGCAGTGCCCGGGCCACGTGCCCAGGGGCTTATCCGGATTAGGGCCACCACGTCCCCAGCTCCCCTGCCCGGCCAGACGCTGGCCCCGGCCACCGAGCGGGACGGAGGGACGGCACGCTGCCCGACCCGCACGGCCCCGGGGACCACCCCACACAGGGCATGCGCCCACACCGGCGCTGCCCCACGGGACCCCCAAACGGGGCCCTGCTGTGCCCTGTCCCCCCAGAGCGGAGCCCGACCCGGCGAGCGGGACCCCCATTGCCTCCCCAAAAGAGCCGCGGTGCCTGCGGTGCGGGCGGGAGCCATCGGGCCATGGCCGCCCGCTCCGGCGCGGCAGCAGCTGCGGATTAATCCCGTCGGGAAGCGCAGGCAGCGATAATCCCGGCGAGCGGGAGATTAGGGAGCGGGGATGGCGCCACGTGCCGCGGGGCACGCACGAGCGTGGCGGCGGGGAGGGGGGCTGCCACAGGACGGGAGCTGGGGGGGACGGGGACGAGTGCTGGGGGGGCAGGGTTGGCACCCCAAGTTCAGTCTTGCCCCCTCCCAGGGACGGTGCAAATGGGCTGGAGCAGGGATTACCGGGATTACCAGGATTCCCACCCCGGGCACGGGCCCGGCATCACCAGGGGCTGCGCTGACACCCCGAGGGACGATGTGGGGGGGCCAGGTTCATGCATCCCCCTGGGGTGCAGCTCCTTGGGGCTGGGGGGGGGCTCTGGGGGAAAGCCCTGGGGCTTTGTCACCCTCCTGCGCCCACCCCCAGCCCCCCCCCCCCGGGGCCCCCACCCGCAGCT